TTGACTTCCGGATAAAGGAAAGCATTATGTATTGAGAGAAATTCTGGACAAAAAATGAAAGTAATTCGTGAAACATCGGCATCTTTTATGTGATCCATTACAAGCCATTTGAAAATATTTTATCTTAATTGGAATATTTCAATGTAAAGACTTTTCGTGTCAGACTTAAAAACTTTTTCTAGATCTATTGAGGAATTAGGATGGAATTAAGTCGGCTGATAATTCACGCCTTCCCTTCCAAAATGTCCAATTAATTGGCTATTAACGTCCTCTCTTTTATGAAAACATTTCCTCGAGGGGAGAAGTAGCGGATATCCGTTTAACTTTCTTGACCACCGTCCGGCTTAAAACGGATCCTCGTTCGATTCGTGTTTTCTATCCGCCGGGAAAACCTTCCGTCCCCATTTGCCTACGGATTTCACGTAAAGGACTGTCAGGACGAACCGCTCTCCCATGGATTGAAGAAACGGACCTCGGGGCACGCGTGAGACCGTTTAACCCATACCTCACCGCCATGGGAACCAGCCAAGTTGGCCGCAATATACTTTATTTGTACAACACAATCACAAAAAAATACCATTTAATTGCAAAACAAAGCATTGAAAACAAAAGTGTGGGACTCGATTCCAAGAAACGCTACATTCTATAAAGTAGGGAAAACAATTGTTAACTTAATTCTTAATTTAAACAATGTGGAATTTAATGCGATGTATATTACAAACACAGGTCCGTTCTCCAAATGAGAACTTATCCCTGGCTAAAACTATGCAAATTAAATCCATTTAATTAACGAACAAAAAATACAAGGTCTAGACCGAAGTTTATACGATACAGGTCCCAAAAATTGCATAGTGAGGAACTTAAATGCATTTAAACTAATATACATCTTTAAATTCATGCAAGATTGAAAAAGCATCGCACTGAAATAATCTCATTTGCAAATAATTAGAGATAAAATTCAAATAGCCACAAAAAAGATGAGGGATAAGTGGGAGGTATTTAGGTAGAGAGAGAAACACGGAGAGAGAGGGAGAGAGAGAGAGAGAGAGAGAGAGAGAGAGAGAGAGAGAGGGGAAGAGATAAAGCAAAAAAACCAATAGTGAGAAAGAGAGAGAGAACTAGATAATTTTAATTCATTTCAACAAAAACTTTACATAAAAATATTAATTAATTTAAAGAAGTAATTTGGTCAATAGACCACGAAATATACTGGATTTAATAATATTAAATGTTCCAAAAAATATAGCTTTTGTTTATAAAATGTAGTATCCGGTCTCTCATTCTCTATTCCTTTCTTTCACTCTGTTTGTTTTCATAATTTTTCTTCTCTCTGGCTGTCGGTATGTTTCGCTATTTCTCTCTCGCTCTCGGTTTCCTTCCTATTCTTCTCTCTTACTAATTATTTCTCCTTCCTGTCCCTTCCTTTCTCTCACTCACGTTTTTCTCTTTTCTTTTTCTCTCATTATTTCACTCTCCCTCTCTGACTCCTTTATGCCTTTCCTCTCCCTTCCTCAGTGTCAGTGCATTTGTCTCACGACTCACTATTTCTCTCTCTCTCTCTTTCTCTCTCCTCTCCTCCTTTCAAAGGCGGTCTTTAAATTAGGCAAACGCCATTTTAATTTGTGTATTTTCCGTTTTGCAGTACAGTACTATACTTTATACTTTACGACCAATCCAAAAGAGCGATAATCCTGAAAAAGGATATAAAATCTGATCCTTGATAAGAGGGCAGATCTGAGTGTTTGTCTAGTTTTCACGCTACTTGACAGTCCAAAGGCGGAGAAGATTTTAACCCCGACCGAAAAGCAAGTGTTAAAAAAATCCTTTTTCATCCTATTTTAGCTATATGAACTTTTTAGTGTATCATTTACACGATTTTTAAGATTAGTCCTAAACTACAAAGATAAAGCAAAAGATGTGACAATCTGAAGTGGATTAAAATAATAGAATGAGCCGGCTGAAAATATTCCTTACTTATTTTGCGGTATTTTAGATAAGATTATTATAATTGCTAATTGAAAAATCTGACCTTTGCCGTCTTGACCTTAAAATAAGCAAGTTAATTACTACGCTGATGAACTTTATATTAAGAAAATATTAAAAAAGATTTGTAATGCAGATTCACCACAGTGCAAACAAAGGAATTTAGTAGTAAAAACTTGACTGGTTATATGAAAATTGTCAGTTTTTAACTGTCACTAGTTACGAAAAATAAACTTAAAACTAACTTAAACATTGCAACTTAAAGCAATAAAACAAAATTTATTTGCGTACAATTTTTTTCTGGTTATTCTGGTCCGCATTTTTTTCGGCTAGATGAGATTTTCAGCATTCAATGCGTTTGTATCTTTCGTATGCCCTTGCAGGTCAAATGAAACAACGCCTACTCATTATCCTCCTAATTGTTAATAATCAACTATAAACAGCAAAACAATTTAACTGATTCACGTACACCTGGTAAAGCCACAAAGACCATTTAAATTTAAAACAATAAATTCCCCTAGTCAACAACATAACTCTCTTGGGCAATAAAGACGTCCAGTGCTTTACAGCTTGATAAACACGACCTGATTACACCGTAATTTATTATTAAATTTTTACAGACAGAGTTGTTTACCGTGCAATCTACGGTACGCAACTGGCCCATTGTTTTCAATGCCACTTTTGGTTTCGAAGGATTGTACAAGCGAAATTAAAACATTAATCGTGAAGTATTTAATTTTTTTTGTTAGAAAATATTCAGGAAGACGAGCTTTTTTCCAAGCTTAATCCTCAGGTTCATTCAATGCAATGCCCTTCGACGGTCGTTTATCACAAAGGTACTTCTGGCTACTGTTTCCTCTGTATTGTCGAGAAAAGTCCTTGATGATAGCATTATCAACAATTCCGAAAAGAGGAGTTTACAATATAGTATGGAGAAGGAAGAATTCGACTTGAATTGAAGGCCGAAACTTACTTTCCGGCCTATTGACATGTTCAAAATGAAATTTCATAAATTATCCATTTTTCATCATAAAGTTCATCATGAACTTGTGGACTTAGTTGAGTTAAAATGTTCTTTACGGCATCATCTAAGAATATATAACCATTGGCAGCTGTTAAATAGATACTGGCAATTTTTGGTAAGCTAAGTTTCGCTCTCTGCTGTTTTCGGGTGTTTTCCGGAACTAATTGTACGACCATCGAACTAATAAACGTACAAATGAGTAAATAATTACTTGATGGAGTTATTTTAGGTTACCTAAGAATCAATGATCATTAGCAGCGTATCAATCGATATTGGCCATCTTTTGGCACGGTTAAACTCGCTCTTTGCTGTTTTCAGGTTGTTCCGAGGCTAATTCTACAACTCAAACTATAGATGTACAAATCAGTACTCATATGAGTAATCTACAATATTATTTTCAAGTTTATCCATGAATCCATGATCATTTGAATTAATCGATATTAGCCATCTTTGGTTCGCTTAGTCTCGTTTTCTGCTGTTTTCATTGCGCCAAGCGGGACTAATTATAACGAAATATAAATGTAAAAATTGATAGATAAAATAAGAATAATGTTATTCACAGGAAAGGCTAAGGATGACAATAAATAAACATTAGACAGCAATTTCATAAATTGTTCATGTTTAGTACCCTTATTCTCGCCTTTCTATTTTCACGCTTCAACCATTGGACATATAATTTATAATATTATTGCAGGGAGAACGTGAGAATCGATGTAATTTTGGCAGCAGTTTGATCCAATACTAGCCATCCCTAGACTAATCGATTGAACTTTATTGTTTCTAATTGGTATGGCCAATGCCAACAGCAAGAACAGGCGTACCAGATTAATTTCAATCAAATAGTGTTTACAGTAGAATTGTTGACATATTTCAGAAAGCTGTTTCGTGTTGAAGGATAATCAAAAATAATTATTTCATGTAGAATCCACCGTCGGTACGAAAACAAGGCAAATTGGGATTTCAATCGTTCAAGTATTTTCTGCTAAATTCTACCAAAGTAATTTTGTAACTTTAGAACATCTTATGTAGAAAGTGAAACAAAACCACAAATTTTTATCAAAATTGCTGCCTACAGTTCCTACTTTTCCGAGCCAGACCAAATCGGACGATCACCCTTTCAATAAATTATCTTCATCTTGGCCATATGACCTATTATATTATCTTTCAATCCCCAGTCTTAATACTAAAAACATAAACTACATGAAATATTTAATTTTACTTCAATTAATTAAGGTTTTTAGTTGAGATAAAAAAGCCAATGTCACGAGCGGGATTCGAACCCACGATCTTCGGCTAGATACGCCGCTGCTCTACCACTTGAGCTATCGTGACTTCGATCCACTCGGACACTAACTTCCCATCTCAACCCCACCTTTTTGAATTTTCCCTCCTTTTTGCCATTTTTCAAATGTCGTGTAATCTGTTTGATTCTCGGCGACAAATGAAATGGCCACGGAACGGTCGTGGGTTCGAATCCCACTCGTGACACTGACTTTTTTATCTCAACTAAAAACCTTATTTAATTGGTCAAGCGGACCACGAAAAATAATGAATTTAATTTTACGTTTCTAAATTTTCCAAATGGAGTTTATGTACCATTTACCTGTTTTAAGGTACTATGTCTTCAACCAAGCTTACTTTGATGGTATGGTTGGTAGTGAATATACGCTTCTACGTTAAATAATTTGTGCCATATTGGAACAGAAAAATAATAAAGTATCTAAATACTGGTTGGGCTATGTGATCAGTTGAGAAATCTAGCCAGCTTTCTCTTTACTTCTAAATGATTACTGACCGTTAGGTCCACCCATTTTCTCTATTGTTTACCGCTTTGCCGAATTGCTCCTCCATTAGTTTGAAGTTGATGGGCCCAAAATTAATCGCAATTTCAACAATTTCATCCTATTTACTTTATGCTTAATTCAGAAAGATCTCGTTAATGAACGATTGACGCCTTTAGAATCAAGTGTCTACCTTCAAAAATTCCACTCACCGACTATTTTGTGAAGAGTGTCTTCCTGTGGCGGTTCTTCAGTTGCGAAAGCATCGTTTACAAGACCCGGTCTCGATTCGAGCGCTTGTAACTTTTTGGACCCTCTGAGCGATCTGTTGATCAGCTCTTGCTGCGCCACCCTTTCCTCTTCTTCTTTCCGCTTTCTCAATTGTTCCTGAAGAAATAAAAACAAAACAAAAGTTAAAAACATAGAAAAAATACGAAAGTGCCAAAAATAATCCGTTCATTTATGCCTTTTATTAAATTTGTTCGTTTTAAAAACACCCCATCATTCAAATTATTTATTTAAGCTTTAACAGAAAATCAGCACATGGCTTTATCTGTTCAGAAAGAAACAAGATAGGTGACCAACTGACAAATCTTTCTTTTGTTTTCCCTGACAGTATTCGTATTCCTTCAGATCATAATAATAATAATAATCAAGTAATTATTCATAAACAGTTGATTAGATCAAATCCAAACTATCAACCAATAGACAAATATGCCACAGGTAATGTTCGTACTCACTGTTTTTAAAAAATAAATATTTATAAATGCACCATACAAAATTACACCAAAAATACATCTTTTCATTTCTTTTATCGCGTACCGATTTTTCAAAAATGATGTGTACAGACCAACACTAAAGTAAAGCGAAAGATTGGTTATTTGTCAGATATGCTGTTGGCCCTAAAGCAAGTGCCCGTGTGTCAACCGTGTATGGCCCATCCTTCCTATACGATTAAGATTCTCTAGGGTCCACTAATCGACCATGCTCTTGACGCGCAAAAACTTGTCGGACAATCCAGTCCACTAACGCTGTCACCTTTTCTTTATCATATTTTTTACTGCTCGTTTACCGCCAGCGGGTCGGATTGCGATAGTAAGGTCTGGAGGTGGTCCGTCCGCAAATTGGTTGCCCTCCAGCCGGACAACTGCAATCGTTTTTCCGAGACCCTCGAACACAGGGTATTTTTCGAACAAGAGGATCCATAGAGAAGCTGTCTCTTAAGAGGCCACAAAATAGTCCATGCACACGAGAGTTAACTGCAATGGGTTCACGGTTCAGGCCAAACGTTCTCCTTGGAGATAGGCGAAAACCGGCACACCTCGACCAAATGGCAAGTAAACTGGTCGATTGGCCAGGGTCGCAAGATCGTCCAGGAAGCACCTCTAATATCGTGCCAAGTGACAATCCAGCCTTCCCTGGATTCATAGGACGATGTCCTCTGTTGCCTATGAAACCAGCCAACTAACTGAGCTAAGCTCAGTTAAACGTTGTCACTCTCTTTGGTCATAGAAATATTTAAAATAATTACTAATTCATTGATTGATCTGTCGTGAGTAATTATGTTCAATTATGTCAGTAAATGAATATAAGTACCTCAGTATCACACTCACTCCCGGCCTTTCAGTTTTCAAACACCTAGGTCTCAAAACCTTTATTGATTAGGTATTAACTTGATCTAAATAAGATATGTAAAGCAAGGTAGATAGATATCATACATTTACATTATTAACATATACATATATATATATATATATATGCAACAACGTTTACCAATGTTGGTTCTAGGCTCACTCTCACCTAACTCGCCCGTCTTCGTTCGAATCCACAAACAACAAACCAAAGATATAGGGTAAAAATTTAAAAAGACAAAAAACCAACAGACAATTTGTAACTTTACCTTTCTTGAATGTCTTAAATTTTAAATTAATATTAACATTACCTTAAGAATGATCTAATTGCGAACTAAATAGAAACAACAGGTTCACGCCATAACAACTATAATTACATTTACCAATTAAATTAATAGTTAAACGACAAACGAATAAATAAATTATTACGTAATGTGTATAAATAAGTAATAAATAAATAGATAAAAGATTGTGTGACTAGCGTAAGGTTAACATGTGACAAATTTATATCAAACATAATCTGTTTTGGGGTTTATAATTAGGAATTTCAAATCCTCCTTATCGTAACAAAATTGATTGATGATTTGTACATATGGACTAGCAGCACACGTTTCATAATATCTCGCAATTAATCTACAAGTGTGTTGTTATGCTTTGAATGTTGAGTACAGAATGCATATAATCTACGGGTGTTCATCGTGGTAACCCCCTCAATAATTCTAAGTGCAACATTTTGTCCTACCTGGAGTTTCCCATAGTTCGTTTTGAGGATATTTTCCCAGACCGACGCACCATAAGTTAACAAAGGCCGTATGTACATTTCATAAATTGATGTCAAGACTTGAATTGTCATTAAAAACGATCCACAAGCTGCTCATGGAGCCATGGCCGTGGTACATTTTTCCCTAAATCCTATGTCGTTGATGATACCTGGACGAAAATACTGCATGTTTGTTCACTAATATGTTAAAAAAGGCGATAAAACAGTATCAATTTGAAGATTGGAAGCTAATGAGGTCAACGGGTAAAATCAAAAACGACCTCACCTCCAAGAAATTTCTATGAACCTTGCCGTTTGTGAACTCCGACTTGACCATATTGGTCCATGTTCTCCGACAGACAGTCGAGCGTGACAGTGGACAAACTGTCAAACAATATCAGAGTTGATTTAGGTGTAGTTATGTACAGAGTAAATACGGGAACAAGTGGGGATCATTGTTTTTGGTACGCCGATGTCCTTGATCGGACATAGAATTGTGGAATGATCCCGTGGATAGTTTCCTGTTTCCTTTCTGCACCGGAACACAATGATACGACGGCAGGAAACGCGTCCTTTGTCCAGACGATTCGATGGGCTGTGGTCCTGAATCGTCACACTTAAGCCGAACGAAAAAGTTTTAACCCGCGAGTGGTGGACTAACCTTCACCCCGTTGGTCGCACGTGAGATTTTCATTCGCAGCTCTTTTCTTTGTTAATAGTTGTCAATTACTATAAAAATCCAAATATCAGTAATAACTTCTTGCACGTAGTTTTATACACGTTTACCACAAACACAAGTTTTAGTCTGTCAGGTCATCCCGCACACCTAATCATTTTGGGTTATGACCTTCCTGAAGATTCGTGGTTTTTCTTTCCATAAGTACAAACATTTTACAATCGAATCGGATATCCTGACACTTGCCAGGCCAGCGGTTTTTCATATTTATCAATACTAAAACGATAAACAAAGCAAATTTGTAGACAATACATGACTCAACCGAAACAAATATTTTCATATTTGATATTCTTATGTAAACTTTAGATAAACTAAAATCCAAAGGCGCTAAAAATCAGCAAAAAGCTGTAAAACAACATAAAACTGTTTGTTAAAACCTTTCAAATATACCAGTTTCGTTTTAATTAAGGATTAACTTGAAGTATAATTTAATCGCCATACTTTTAAATCTATTACTAAAGATTTCCACCCTGTATAAACTAATTCACCTTTTTTTGTTAACATCAGACGACTGCAAATTGACTGCAACGTGAGACATGCATGTACAATGTTAAGTGGTTTGTGAAGTGGCCACTAGATGCCACCGACAGGTGGGACAGCCTCAGTAAATCACAGTCATGGCCAGACAACATTTGCTCCTAGTCACACACACGTCCTGGATTTAAATAAATCTATATTCCAATATATATTTGATTAATTTATTCATTTATTACTGACTTTTTTGACGTAACGTATGAAAAATCATAAAACAATTAAGCGAAGTTTAAAAAGTGGGAGACAAAGGAAAATGGAAGATTTTTCTCTGTTAAAACTAAAAAAGCCTTGCACAAATATACAGAGATTTTAACATTCAAGTTTATATTTTTTTTTAAATTGAAACGTTCATTTTGGCATTTTTCTTCTAGCCCGTTATGTACTCTTATAGTTTAAAACTTTACACTGATTTCTTTGAATCAAACACGAGGCTAAGTTAAGTAAGCAAATTCTGAACATTTAACTCAAATAGTGTAAAATAAACCTTGACATTGCCTTACCAACGTTTCACGAAACTATATATAAAACATTCGGTTGAATTGATAAGCCCCTGGTCCTCCTAATATCCCACTAGACACGGGTACAACACTGAGAAGCAAAATAAGTGGCTATCCTTAATATTTTTAATTGCTTCTCAGACCATCCTTCCTTTCAATATTTGGTCCGTTTTAAAGAATTACAGGTAAATAAAATAAGGATAAAATCTCACACTTGTGTTTATATTATGTAACATGCACGAACTGAACTGGTTAAGCTTCAAGAAATCGGTCTAAGCAAGATTGGACTAAATATTGTTTAAGGATGAGTGAAGGTTTTGTTTGAGGTCTTCTGAAGGCCGTGAGAGTGTTTGAAGAAGAAAAGAATAACGATATATACCCGGAACATTTTCATTCCGGAGAAGCTAGAGAGGTAGTGGTGTTATGGTTTGAGCAGACAACAGCAGAGCGATAAATTGAAAATGTGTATTCAGAAGAATTTGTTTTTTTTCCTTCCTATTATCCTTTATTTTTATGCATGACAATGCAAGGCCTCACACTTCTAGGATCGTTGATGCCTACATGGAACAAGGTTCAATTTAATGTTTGGATTGGCCAGCATGCAGCCCCAATGTAAACCCCATCGAATACCTTTGGGATGAGTGGTCAGAGGGATTAAAAAGTCGCCCAGTGATGCCAGAGAATTTGCAAGAAATAAGAATGGTGCTCTTGGAACAGTATGAAAATATTCCACAGCACTACATTAAACACCTCATAAAATGGATGCCATGTCGAATGCAAGCTGATCAACGAAAAAGAAGGAAATACTCCTATTGAATTGAATATTTTCTTCATTATTTCCATAGGAGCATTTCTGATAAAATTGTTTTACTCGGTTTAATTTTTTATTTAGCTAAATCTTATATTTTTATTTAAAAAATACAGTGAACAGCATAAACTAAAAATGAGGATTGCCACTTTTGTTGCTTTGAACTTTAATAAATAGAAACTGAGTGTACAAGCTGACCGGAAAAGACAGATAATCGACAAGGACCTGGGAATATCGCAATAAAAAGATATTTTTTAGCTGTTGGGCCGATATTCTTCTGTGAAACTTTCTAATAACTATGAAATCAATCACGATGGGCATAATACTGTAATGTGTTCTATGTTCCGACTAGTTTTGCCATCATCTGACCGTGGAAAGATTGCAGTTATATTGGTGGTTAATAATTTATGTAGGAGCTAGC